GATATTTTCAATTAAAATAAGAAACCAATTTGGTGCAAATAAAGCCATTACTACTTCAAGATCACACACAAGATTCCGAAGACAGTCTGTGTTCTATTCAGCCCTGAGCAGACTCCAGAAACAAACCTTTAGGCTCTTTATGCTCAAAATAAGGGCATATTTGTTCAGTGGGTGTTGGGCCTGCACAGAATTGGGATCAGATGACAGTTGACCCCATTCCCAGAGTTGACAAACTACAAAATTAAGACATTCAATTTCAAGTTTTTCATTATGTTTTAACTATAACATCCCATATTTGCTAACAATCGCTAAATGACCTTGTAAAATTAAATTTAAAATACTTTCAAAACCACAATAATGGCTAAATATGGTGATGTTCAAGCAAAAACAAGGAGTCCAATTCTAAATTTCATAACATTTTAAATACGTATTTAAGTTATTGTAAGCTTTATGTACTTGTTGCAAATCACTAAAGCCTGTATTATGCTGCATGAAATTCCGTCATGGAATGGAGGCGGTTAGTCCATCCCTTCACCCGTTTTACAGGTGAGAGAACTGTAATTTTCTTGTCTCTTTTATAACCAGTGAATCCTCTAAGCTCGGCTCAAGGCCTGGCATGAAATAAACACTCAACAGATGTGTGTAATACGAACGCAGTTGTGTAAATTCCCCAAGATCACCCACCCTTCCTCTGTCTTAGGAAGTGAATCCGACAGGAAGGTGACAGTCGGGGCCTGGTAGCGAATCCGAGGGGAGCACTCCAGGCTGACGCATGGGGCGTGCCCTTGGGTTGCCCCGGGGTCTTCCTTTGCGTATTTTGGGCGCCTCACCCTCCTTGAGGGTTTACCTCATCCTCTTACTCAGAGATGGACCTCTTTTGTTCACTTGGCGATCATAGGTCCTCCAGGCTCTTTAAGCGGGGGCTGCCGTCCTAGCCTGGAGCCGGGACTCTCTGGCCTCGGCGCTCATGGCTGTACCTGGAGGGCAGGGAAAGAAGTAGGACTTGAGTCACCTGGGCTCATCGGAGAGCGTCTAGGGAACCGGGAAAACTGAAGGTGGATTAAGGGGGCGGGATGGGAGCTGGCAAAAGGGGAGAAGGGAGTGTGTCCCAGGCTCCCCCCGCGCTTCTGCCGCGTAGCAGCCCTTGGACCACCCTTTGACCTTAAAACGGCTACGGAGAGCAACGCCTCCACCAGCAACTAGACCCAGCAAGCCCGGTGCTGGGCGTGCCCTCACCTGCCCTGCCGCGCGCGGGCCCCCGCAGTGCTTCTGCGGGCGGCGCAGGGCAGCAGTGCACCCGGCTCACCTCGTCTATCTGGGGGCCGGCGCCGCGCCTCGGCAGGAGGTCCCGGAGCATCCTCGCCCCGGCGTCCCCGCGATTCCCCCTGCAGCAGCAGCGAAGCGAAGCAGCCGCGGCCACCGCGCGCCCTCAGCTCGACCTGGGTGGCCTCTAGGGGCGCAGCCCTCCACGTGCGGGCCTACCGGGCTGCAAACCACAGGCTCCGAGAAAGGAGGTAGGTGCCAAGGGACTAGAGCTAGAGTGGGCGGAAGATCGGCAGGGAGGGGAGGCTGTGGTGGGCATGGTCGATTCCTGAGACCGCTGCCCTCTTCCTTTCTGCAGCCGCTTGCACTTAAATAGCTGTTGAATTAAAATAATGTCCTTGGCGTGCGACAACCTTCTCCAGCCCTGCGCATCCCGGCCGCACAAAATACACACTGTCCAGCCGCCGTTGCTGCCTTCATGGGAGTAGGGGGCAGGTTTATACCCACCCACCATACTCCCAGGGGACCCCGAACCCTGCAGAGGTGGCAAGACAGGCCTTAAGAAACGCGCACTCTGATCTCCAGGGGAAGCAAGTATAGGAGGCCATTTCCCTTATCTATCCATCGTCTTTCTATCTAATCAGTCTATCATCTACCATCCTTTCTGTCTCCTTTTCTGTCTTCTTACCTTTTCCTTTCTCCGTTCCCCCTACCCCTCCCCATCGCCTCTCTGTCTTGCTATCTGACTTTTCTTCTTGCGTTTTATATAAAAGACAGGGGGAGGGTGGTCTCACCCAAGGAAGGCATGCCTGCTGGTGGCTTTGCTTCTTGTTCTGGTCACTAAGGTGCCCTTTCGTGGTTGAAGTTTGCTGCTCTACTCAACAAGTAACAGCTTGTTACAGACGAGAAATTAAATAAAAAATAAAGGTGCAGAAAGATAGGGTAGGAATGTGGAGAAACCAGATTGTCTAATTTTAGCCTGGATTTCCTTGTAAGGGAATCACCATCTGTTGCCTAAATGAGAAGGGTTTTGATTGCTCAGGTGAGGAAAAAAGACCTTATGTCTGTTTGCTCATGAAAGACGCAGTAAGGACTCACCTTTAAAGACATGTTATTTTCTCTATGTGCAAAACATTTTAAATAACTAAACCTCAAATCATAGCAGTTTAGAAATTGTAAAGATCTTTAAGTCAAACAGCTCAATGTCATGTTATGAGTTTGACTGCGAAGGTAGTATCTTTATAGTTTCTTCACTGGGTAAGATTTATATTAGTAGAAATGCTTAGTAAAGGCTACTGAGAGTTTAGGTTATGTGTCCTTAAAGAGTTTTATATCATACTGCTGTTGCAACAGCATCAAGGATGTGTCCCAGTGTGGTGCTTAAGAGTTTAAAGTTAGAAAGACCCGGATTTCTGTCTGGACTGTACCATCTAACTTGCTGTGTGATTTCCAGCATGTTGCCTGTCCTCTCTAAGCCTGAGTTTCCTCATTTTTAAGTTGGATTGCTGAGAGGATGGAGACAACACAAGAACAGTAGTTAACACAGAGTAGTACATCACCCAGTAAGTCCATAATAAACGATTCTTGATGCTGCTGATGATTCGAGTCATTAAGCTCAGTATACTCATTTCATGGCACTGCCCAAGCAAGGGGTTTCCATGTGCACGTGAATGCATGGGGAGGAGCAAGCATTATATCCCTGGCATCCTTCCGGTCATAAAAACATTACGAGCTACTCCTGAACCTTTGAGTAGATTCAAACAAATAAAGTCTGTCCTATGCCTATTCAGATTTGCATGTTTGTCTATTTTGTGTATTTCAAGATACTCGGAGGCTTACCATTATGAACACAAAGCCGATATGACCCTGGTGGATTAGTTATTGCTTATTATTAAAAATAGTGTTTCTCAGATGTCACTACAGTCCCTGGCTTAATCTTGATTTGGGAAGGTTTTAGGGAGGAATTGAGCCCTGGAACTAGGGTTTCACTGGTCTTTTTCAACTCAAAAGTGTGAGTCACAGACTAGCATCACCTGGCGCGTGTTATGAATGCTTGGTCTCCACCTGCACTGATACTCGCTGAAGAGAACCTGAATGTTAATAAGATCCACGGGGATTCTTGCACACTTTCTTAGGAATTTGAGTGCACTGATGTTTCTTAAAAATGGGACTTAGCGAAACATGGATTTCTTGTAAGCTGTCTAGTCAAGTGAAAAAAGATTTGTTATCACTTAAATGACTGATTTTTATTTAAAATTTTTAAATAGCCAAAAGAGGTATTATCATTTGCTTTCTGTTTAAAAGTAATGGAGAGCTGATATTTTATTGGGTTGACAAAGAGTCCATATGGTTTTTTCCGTAAAATGAAAGACGCATTTTTCATTTTCACCAATAACTTTAATGATTTGGATAGTTTGAGTATATCTCTCACATGGTATTACATTGTTCTCAGTTAATGTCTCGATTTGATCACTGTCAACTTCAACTGGTTTACCTAACTATGGAGCACCGTCCAGCAAGAAATCTCCAGGACAAAATTCCACAAACCACTTTTGACATGTTCAGTCAGTCACAGCACCTTCTCTCTGCACAAATCTTTTTTTGTGTTTCAGTTGCATTTTTACTTTTCTTGAAATAATAAAGCATAATATGCCCAGAATGTTGCAAATTTTCTTCCATCTTCAATATTAAAATGGCTGCACAAAAATTCAACAATTTTGATGTTTTTTTAAATGCACACTGATATGAAAGTTGTCACAATACAATCTAACAAAATTGTTTCAAATGAAGTTAAAGACAACTAAGTACTAGAACCATCGTACAGAAAAAAAAATGAACAAACGTTTTGGACAACCCTTAAGTTCTGCCAGGTTTGGATTCCAGTGTTCCTATTACCACCTAAGGCATTTCCATTTTGATACTGCTTAGAGGAAATATAAAAATATTTTGCTATATTTTTAGTTTTTGAATTTTTATACCAGAAGATACCATTAGCATTTATAGGAAGAACATAATAATGCATATGTATTAGAGATAAAGATTTTAATGGCATCCTTTTTTAAAATCAACTTTATTCCTTGGCTGGTGTGGCTCAGTGGATTGAGTACTGGACTGTGAAGCAAAGAGTTGCTGGTTTGATTCCCAGTCAGGGCACATGCCTGGGTTGCAGGCCAGGTCCCCAGTGGGGGGGGCACATGAGGGGCAACCACACATTGATGTTTCTCTCCCTCTCTCCCTCCCTTCCCCTCTTTCTAAAAATAAATAAATAAAATATTTTTTAAAAATCAACTTTATTGAGGCATAATTTGCATATATCAAAATGCATCTAATGTTACCCTTAATATCTGTTTTGTTGTATGTAAATTATTCTTCAGTAAAGTTGATTTTTTAAAAGGCATCATTAAGGATTGTTATGATTTGTTGTCTGTTGCTAGAATATTTCAGAGAATGTTGAGAAAAGTCAACAGAGAGGGAAAATTGAAGATTGACACATTGGGAAGGCACAGAAGATAAATAGCCAAGTGGTCTTGGGAGAAAGGAAAAATAAATTTAGAAGGCTAGAGACCATTTGTATAAGACTTTTTGTCTTTATAATTAAGATGCTGAATTAATATCTGGGGATCTGAGAACACTGCAGATTTTTTTCAAGAGGAAGCTAAAAAAAGAGAAGAAAGTTTTGCTCCTCAGGGTCTCCTTCTCATGTTCTGACCTATGTCTGCCTTTTTATGCAGCAGACACCTGCATTGGCCACGATGCTCTCATCCGATGACTTTGCATCTGCTTCTTGGGAGCTCGTGGTCCAGGTGGACCATCCAAGTAAAGAGAAGGACAAAGACTTCCCGCTGAGAGTGTCCGGAGACCTACACATTGGGGGAGTGATGCTCAAGTTAGTAGAAAAGATCAGTAAGTTTCTGTTTTGTTATGGTGCCTCTATATTTGAAACCCTCTCTTGTATCACCACTGATCTAGGTTGTCTGTTCACCTAAGTTTTTCTGATTACTTATCTTGTAATGGCCCAGAGAACAAGCACCCTCCCCGCCAAGAAGAGAAATAGGGGACCCTGCAAGAGCCTCAAACTGGTCCTCCCCCAACAACCCTTGTAAAAACTTGAGTTGTTGGTGACCAGCTAAAGCTTCCTAGTAGTTACTATGCCATATTTCCACAACAGGCTCAATCCACTGGTGATGTCGAGGGTGACCTTAGACTATTTCTAAGGCTGTAGACTACTCTGACAATTCTCTGTTAATGCTTGTTTGCTCAGTGAGTAAGTCAGCTTGGTACTAATGTGTCTTTTAACAATTATCCACTATTTGCCGTGCTCCCTGTTTAAACAAAACAAGAAAAATCTTTGGGATCAGAGTTTCACATTAGGAGTCAACACAACCTAGAATTTAATAATGTTCTATTTGCGCTATATTTATTTTTATCTCCTAAGGTCATGGATATTGACTCTCCATTTAAACTAATGAAATAAAGTTTTTTTGAAGCAAGTCTTCCTTGAAGTATAACATACATACAGAAATGTGTACTTATCATAAGCATACAATTCAGTGAATTTTCAAGGTCATGTAACCACCACCCCGATCAAGAAATAGAACATCACCTCTTCCCCGACCGCAGTCCCACACCTGACCCATCTCCATCACTGCCCCACCAAGGTTAACCACTGTCCTGAATCTAACACCATAGGAATAATTTTACTTGTTAGGAACTATATATAAGTAGAATTATACAGAACATAATTTTATGCATCTCCTTTCTTTCACTCAACATTGTGTCTGTGAGATTTATCCTTATTGGTGCATGTAGTTTTGGACCATTTGTTCTCACTGCTGTATAATATTCCATCGTATGATTATATCATAGTTCATCCATTTACCTGTTGTTGGACATTTTGGGTTGATTGCATTTGGGGGCTATTACAGACAGGGCTGCTGTATACTTCGTGTCTTTGGTGAGTATATTTAGGCATTTCCGTTGGGTAAGTAGCTCAGGAGGAATTGTTGAATAATAGGACTTTCCGAAATAGTTACAGCATTTATACTTCTACTAACAGCATTGCAAAATATATATATTTTCTAAGTTAAAAGGAGAGGGAGGAAAAGAGGAAGAATTTTTTAAAAAGTAAAACACTGATGGCTCTTAATTTAGCAAAGTAAAAGATTGACTATTGACTCCAACATTGATGAAGGGAAAAGATTCAATTTTGATGCCAGCATTGAAAGAAGGGGAAATTTCCAGGTTGATGCTAACACTCAGAGAAAATATTAGGCTCTGATTTCAGTGTAGACACTTTGGAAACTGGGAATATGGTGGTTCTGTTAAAAGAGTTGGGCATTACCGGGGAGAATGAAGTGATAGCTTTATAGTACTTTTTTGTAGGCTCTGATTGGGAACTATGGATATTCCCTTCTGATCCAGTAGTACAAGGATACATTTCTATTAGATAAATAATGTTGATTAATCTTGATTTCCCAGAAAGGACCATGGTGCTAAGAGATTTAAGGAAGAGAACATTTCATTTCAATATGAACAAATGTTATATGTTTCTGTTCCTTCCACAGCATTTAAGTATCAGTGATGGTAAGGTTCGGTCTGAGCTCTACCTGTCCCCATATAGAGACTTGAGGGGAAGCCAAAAATTGTTGAGCCCTGGGTCATTGTAAGAGGAGATGGGGCACTGAGGATCTGTCATTTGTTTTTGCACACAATGAAATTGACTGGAGTGCTGTCCCTCTCCTTTTACTTCCTCTGTTTTCTATTTTTGCAGAAATAGCTCAGGACTGGTCAGATTTTGCCCTTTGGTGGGAACAGAAGCAATGCTGGCTCCTGAAAACACACTGGACCCTGGACAAATATGGAGTCCAGGCAGACGCAAATCTCCTCTTCACCCCTCAGCATAAAACGCTTCGCCTCCGCCTGCCAAACATGAAGACGGTGAGGTTGAGAGTCAGCTTTTCTGATGTGGTTTTTAAAGCCGTCAGTGATATCTGCAAAACCCTGAGTGAGTACCCTGGAGGGGCCCCTGTGCCCTTCGGACTTTTAGCAAAGGAGGGCAGGAAAATGCTATGTGTTTTCTGCCTATCTGAAGTGGTTGGCTTTGCAGAATACTGCTCTGATTAGGAAGCACACTTTTCAAGCCCAGTTCTGGGGACTTAAACCATTTAAGTGCACTCGACCAAATGGGACATTATTGAGATACATCAGATTTATTTCCACAAAGCTTAAAACTATTTCAGCCCTGATTGGTGTGGCTCAGATGGCTGGCCATCATTCCACAAAGCGAAAGGTTACCAGTTTGATTCCCGGTCAGGGCACATGTCTGGGTTGCAGGTTCAGTCCCCAGTTGGGGTGCGTAAGAGAGGCAATGGATTGATGTTTCTCTCTCACATCAATGTTTCTCTCCTTCTCTTTCTCTCCCCCTTCACCCTCTCTAAAAATAAATAAATAAAATCTTTTTAAAAAATATTTCAAAAGAGATTTATAAACAGAAGAAACAAACCAATGCATCTTTATTTTTTTTGAGAGACTGGTATAGTAATGCCTTAACCACTTCACTAACACTTGGCTCCAGCAAATATATAGCCCTATCCACAAAAATTCTTTGTGGAATTTATTTTAAGCAGAAAGGTACACTTAATAATGGATTGAAATTAATTCTTATCTGCTGGTGTCCATGAGTTTAACAGCCATTAAGGACAGCATCGCCTAAACCATTTCTTTCTTTTGGAACTTCTATAGTGGGAGCAAAGCCTGTGTTGTGAAGGTGTTTTTATTTTATATTTTTAAAAAGTATATAGGTATATTCTTTGTTTCCAAAGCTAAGACTTAGCATTTTGAACACAGTACATACCATAGACAAGTGAATGATTTGTCTCCCCCATTAAACTATGAACTGCTCATTCACTCCTTCAACAAATATGTATTGATTAGGCAAGCATTGTGGTGAATGCTATGCATATGTTAGTAATAAAAAATAGCCCAAAATCTTGTCCCTACTTGAGCTTACATTCTAGCATAGACAGAAAATAAATAATTAATGTAAACAATAATACGTTAAAAGGAATGCCAGTATTGGACACTGAAGGCTGGTATGGTATTAAATAGGCCGAAGACAGAAACCATTTCTCGAACATGCCCAGCACGATGCCTGGCACATATTAGCTGCTTAATAACTGTTGAGTTACAAATGAATAGAACCTTCCATTATAGAATATTAAGTTTCACAGTGTCCCTGACGAATTGTGAGCAATTGGAGAACACCAGGCACCTCATTTTCAAATAATATTCTAATGAGGATTTGCAAACTATTTCTTTTTAGAGGGACTTAATAAATGATTCAATAACATCTTATACTGTACATACCACATAGGACTGGGAGTCATCATGGCTGGGACCAAAAACTTGAGGTATAGAAATAAACAGAAGCAGTTGTTGCGCTGGGCTCCCACGAGGGGCGACACGCAGTGGCGAGACAGGCACGCCCCAGGGAAAAGCCGCTCGGATCACCGCTTGTCCCAGGCACGGGCACCAACTGCCTCGTGGGGAGGCGGAGGTGGGAGGCGGGGTTAGGGGAGAGGGAGCGTGCAGCGGAGAGCGCGGCGCCTGGATCCCTCCCGGGATCTGAGGGTTACCCTCCGAACTGGGAGCACGGCTCTGAATCCTGCAGAGCCCCTCCCGGGGCTCACTGTTTGCCAGGAGAGGGGATGTGGCACATCCCTCTAGTGGGAAAGTCCCCAAGTCCCTTTGTCCAAAGGCTTTTATTGAAAAGGTTATCAGTGAGGCTAGGTAACAGCAATGCACAGGTTATCTCATTACATCAGTATGTTAATGTTCACAGAGAATGGGTGATGTTTTGAAGAAAACAAATGGCAGGAACACACCAATTTACATGGCTACGAGAGGAGACTAGTAAACAAGAGAGACAACTAAACATGAGAGCATAGTAAACATAAGAGTGCCTAAAGGTATAGGGTTAGAGTCTGTGAATAATGTAAATGTCCTTCCCAGCATGAGCTGGCTAGAGCTTCTGAGGGAAGAACAAAGCACACTGTAAAGAAAGCACACTAGGCCTGATTTCCCCGGGAACAGCCAGATCTGGCTTAGGACTGACTCCAGTATTGTTTCAAGCCTGAGCCAGGCTCGGGGGAGGGAGAGGGACAAGCAGACTCCTTTCAGAGAGAATGAGGACCCTGGCCCTGTCCAAGCCGAGCCGGGGGATGCTGGCCTTTTTGCCCTTTCTCTGTGCCCGCCAATTTCTTGTCTCCTGACAATATTCGATCGGCATCTGTCTTAGGTTGTATACCTCAGCTCAAAATAACTTATACCTGATCATCCGATCATCTATGGCAAAGCAGAGGCAGAAGTTACGCCCCTGCCAGGGGGGAGAGGTTATGTCTCCTCAGGAGCCTGTTTCTCCAAGGCCTCCTGATTATTTCCAGCGTTGGGGCCCTCCAGCCTGTCGGCGGGGTTACAGTTCCTGAAACCAGACAGGGCGTTTCCCAACACACAGTCAGATGTTCTTCTCTTTTCCAGATGTTATCTTCATGGTTGTTCTTAAAGGCTCAACTTAGCATCCCTAATAATTTCTCTTTATATCTGCTCAATTGGAGCTAGATCAAATTTAGCAGTATGATGGGGTTTTTTCCTTCAAGAAAAAGAAATGACAAATCTTAGGTTTGGAGATGGGGGGGTTGTTGTTTTTTCAGTGTTTTGTTTGTTTCTAATGCTTCCAACAGGACATTTTGATTCATCTCTAGGTTTTGTGTATAAATTAGGCATTTGAAATGATCATGAGTATGTGCAGCAACCTGACAATCAGACATCTTTGATTACTGGGGAGAGAATCAGGCTGAACTACCAGCCTCGGTCTCAGCGCAAAGCAGTGTTGGAACTGAGAAGGGGAGGGCCTGTGGCATCAGTGCACTGACCTCCGGGACAGCTGCCCAGAGATTCTAACATCCACATTCCATGGCTTTTACCTGGGATCATAGCAGCTCAGTATGGTTAAGGTTTGGCAACGATAAATAAATATATTTGATTAATGGAGGAAATTGGGGATGCTTTTCTTGGAGTTCTCCCGAAGCAGACCCTGAGATAAGGATTCAAGTACAAATATCCATTAGTTTGGGAGGCAATGCCAGGAAACACTGGCTAAGAATGGGGACATGAGACTGGGCAGACAAGGCCACCAATAAGAGAATGTCACCAATTAGGTCACACTGCAGGCACCAGGGGACCTCTGGCAACAGCGTGGACATAACTCTGAGCCATCCCACCCAAAGGGTGAGGGAGCTGGCTTGTCAGTACATCACTAATCATCAGTCACTGACGGCTACCTTTGGACAGCGTTGATTCTCTGCACTTGTGTGGCGTGTTGCTTCTGTATCTGAGCAGTGTATCCTCTGGCGGTCAGAGCAAGCCCTCAGGCAGAGAGGGAAATGTCCTAGCTGCCTTTGGTCGTCAAGTCAGAGTACACTGAGATGGTGAGGGCCAAGAAGAGAGGGGCGGGGTGCCAATGACGGCTGCCACAGGGAGGAAATTAGCTACTGGGCATCATTTAAGAAAAAGGCTCTCAGGATCTGTGGTCCATAAAGAAAATGAGTGGGGTCCTAGGCTGTTGTTTAAAAAAACTAAAAAAAGAGAGAAGGGAGAGATAGGGAGGGCAGGAGGGAGAAAGAAGAGGAGGAAAGAAAGATGAGAGAAAGGAAAGGAATAAAGGGAAATTGGCAGCAAGTAGGTGAGAGAATAGCAAAATTTTGGCAATATTTTGAGGCTGGGTGGTGAGCCCACAGAGGGACCATTGTACTATTCCCTTTGCTTTGGATATGTTTGAAACATATCCACAATAAATTAAAAAACAAACTAGAATTTTACCAGACGGAATGTCTCTCCACTATTTGACCACCACACACTTCCATTGCGGGGGAGGGGTTCTGTTCCCCTTCTATTTCTTCAAAAAGGAGTGCAACTGAGTTCCTTTTACTTCTCAGCAATTTCTTGAGACACGTGTTGTAATGCCCAATATGACTCTAAGTCTTAAGAGAAATTCTTTTTTGCTTTCTAATTTTCTTCTTTCTTTTTTATATTTATTTATTAGATATTAGAAGATCAGAAGAACTTTCCTTGTTAAAGCCTTCTGGCGACTATTTTAAAAAGAAGAAAAAAAAAGACAAGAATAATAAGGAGCCCATAATTGAAGACGTTTTAAACCTGGAGAGTTCTCCCACAATTTCTGGGCCACCAGGTAAGATTTGTGACAGGTATTTTGTTGTTTTAATTCATTCTTAAAGCCAAGAGTTTCTTAAATTTCTAAATCCCAGGAACTCTCCTTCCTCTGCTCTATCTTTCCTCCTCTTCCCTCCCCTCTCTAACCTAAACAAAGAAGGACTAAAACTGCACTAGTTCTATGATGAGGGAAGAATAGCCAATTAATTTTAGAACTAACAAAATTTTTTTCAACAAGGTATGTTTTATAGCTCATTATTTTAATTGTGTGTATTATGTTCCTGATGAATTAAAAACCTTAGTAGAGCTGGCTGTGAATTTGAAGGGGAAAACATATTATTTGGATCACTCAAACATACTTCTGTTCTCCTGGTTCTATCTTCATGTGACTCTTTTATGAATTCCATTTAAATTTTGTAGTAGGCATGTAACAGGAGAACAGGCATGTAAAAATTCTAGAAAAGCATCATCCTTTTCTTTTTATATAAAAATATAAAAAGCTAGTTTGTTTGCAAACTTTGAGAGTTTTCTTGCATAGAGTATTCCAGTGCAAAGAATAAAAGGAATTATTTGCACCTTTCTTAGGCAAATTAAAGCCAGATGATATATAAACCATCAATTAGCTGGGTTCTTAAAGTTGGCAAATACTACTATTTCTTTAAAAAATTTGTCCAAAACGTAGTCTGTGCATACATTCTGTGAGATTTCCAGTTCTCTAATAGAGTAAAAACTCACTGCTAAAATAGAAGAATTTTGAATTGTTGAGAAGGAGATAGTCTCCAACGTTTGTCTGGATTGATTGTGGAAGCTTTCACAGCCTATCAGTTTCCAAGTTTTCAGTGGCTAAATATTCAGGCAAGAGCTTTACCTGTGAATAACTTCTCTACCCATCAGTCATAACTTGTCTGATTATTTTGAATGGTACAAACATTTAAATTCAAAATCCATTTTAGTGTCAGCAATGTTAATACTTCTTTTCCAAAGGCTCCTACTCCCTGAACCTCATATCCCAGTGTGTGCTTCCCTTTGCCTTACAGTAAGCCCTGGCTTGTACAGTAAAACTATGACTCCCACATATGACCCTGCCAATGGATCACCAGTGTCATCCACCATGACTTGGTTCAGTGACAGCTCTTTGCCTGAACAAAACTGCAGCATCCTTGCATTCAGCCAACCGCCCCAGCCACCAGAAGTGCTGACCGATATGTACCAATCTCTGTCTCTGGTCGATAAAGCCAAACTAAATGCAGGGTAAGCATGTGGCTCATTTTGCTTCTCTGTGAACTGATACTGAAGTAATAAGAGATTCTGCAGAGAAGGTGGGGAGGGGGGTAATTTTTAAGTCAGGGTGCCTGGGGATTGTACACTGTTAGCAAAAATTAGTACTGATTTTAGCAACAAAGGGGGGGAAAAAACGCAGCCTTTGGTCATCATAATACATACAAAACATGACAACATTTATATGTTTGGGTATCCCAGTGGTTTACTATATGTGAATACTAATACTTTGTCCCTACAAGTGTGCAAAGTATATTCTATGGGATGTAGAGCAGTTTATAAGTGGGTTTGTCCCGTGGGTCGCTGGCCCACACTGTCTTGTAGAACACTGCTTCTCTCTGTAGGCTCTCTGACAACCAAGTCCTTCAGCTTTGCTTCCAGTGGGCTCAGAAAATACATTCAAACTATTGATCAAACCTCCAGTTCTTTTCACTCCCCATCATTCACCAAATAAATTCAGGTTTGTGATACCTGACGCCGGCAGCTCTCTCTGTCCTACTGTTCTCATGTGCCCTGTCCCCCAGTGGGGCACACTGACTCTTTCTGTCCCTGCCTGGCCTCCAGGCTTTTCTCTGCCCAGGACTCTTCTTCTTTTTCCCTGTTCTACTGGTCAGTCCCTGCTTGTCCTTTAACGCCCAGCCACATACTCTCTCCTTTGTAGATATCGCCGTTCAAGATCCGTCGCTTCTCTGTAGTTCTGTTCTCACACTTTGCTTGCTCCAGTGTTGCTTCATTCCTTTATGATACGGCTTGGTCTCTCCCACTGGACTGGCAAGTCCTTTAAGGTGGAGATTGCATCTTGGGGCTAATATACTAGAAGTTCAAGCCATTTTCATTCGGTGGAACTGGATGACATTCATCCCCACCTGGTGGTGTTGTTAACTTTTAATCTCCTCCCTCCACTTTTCACCATTACCCAGTGTTTTTAGTTTTCAGTTCTAGGACTATACTCTCCAGTATAGGAGCCATTAGCCATATGTGGATGTTGACCTCTAAATTCGAATTTAATTAATTAAAATTAAACGTGTGGCTAGTGGCTACTGTAGTGGATAAGGGCCTAATGTTGTAATTATAGAAAGTTCTAGACAATAAGATAGAGCCAGCTTTGGACTGGACTACCTGTAGAGGAGAGGCTATGTGAGCAATCGGCAAGTACAGATTCTCATTCTGGCTCCACCACAAGCACATGACCTTAAACATATCACTTAATGTCACTGAGACTCCGTTTTATCACCTATAAAACTGATAAAATAAAAACTTCTTTGGTTCCTTCACTGGGTTAGTTTAAAGTGTCAATGGGGGGGTGGGGGAATATATATATAAAAATAGGGCACTGGGAAAGCTGTAAGATAAAATATAGATATAAGCTATTCTCAAGTCCTCTCCCTTACTGGTCTTTGGTCATATTACTTACTCAGACTTTATTCAAGGACATGTGTGTATACATATGTGTATGACAAACATATATATAACATATGGTGTGATGTATTTTTATTATGTAACATATTGCATAACATATATAACATGTAACCATATTATGTAATGCTGTAATATATATGTATAAAACTGATTGACTTTTATAACTCATCCTATTGTTTTCTAGTTGGCTGGACTCCTCGCGTTCCCTCATGGAACAAGGCATCCAGGAGGATGAGCAGCTGCTGTTACGATTTAAATACTACACTTTCTTTGACTTAAATCCCAAAGTAAGATTCTTTTTCTCTATTCTCTCTTTTTGAAATATGAATCCATGGAAGTGTACAGTTGAGTCATTTATTTATCAAAGTTAGGATTAACTTGTAATCTTCTATTTAACTCTGCAGAATTAGACAGGTCAGTGTATTCGGTCTCTGATTTTCATCTTTTGGGTTCTAGCAAACATGGTCAGCTGCGCCTCAGTGAGTGGGAGCCTCTAGAGGTCTTTGTGCCCAGCAAGGTTCATGGGCACCATTCACAGGAATGAAGGAACCAGAAGAGAGTGGCTCATGGAGCCAGAATCCTTAGTGTTTAGGAAGGGAGGTACAGTCAGGACCCAGGTTAAGGGCAGGTTCTTATGAATAAACCCGACCCCACAATGGCACACAGCAGACTCCCATGGCAGTGCCGAAAAGTCTCTGGTAATGGGAAAGAGGGATCAGCTGAATAAACAAGGTCCCACCGATGCTAGCCACCAGGTCCCATCGGAAGGGTACATCCCCCACCTGAAGTTTACTGGGTCAACTGAGTGGTGAAATAAGTCCTCTGAACTCCAGCCTCTCCCTGCCCCTGATTTACCCTTTTGAACAGTTGTGAATTAGCAGATAAATGGTCAAATGGTGTAGAAAATGTACACAGGTCACTGCTTCTCTGAGTGCACATAGTGGTTTCATTTTATTGTTCCAGTCCAGTGTAGTGCTTGGTGTTCCACATGCCCCTGCGGGGTACGTGTTGGAGTGGTTTGCTCCCTGCTCTGTGCAGACCTTCCCCACCCACAGCAGTGTTACTGTCTTTGTGGCACTGTCTGCTCTTGGGTCCTGGTTTTCAAGTCTGGTCTTCAAAGGCCCATCTTAGCTCCCACTGCTTCCCTTACGGCATCTTCCTCAAAAGAAACTTTATTCTTTGTCATTCCTGTGGAGCTCCTGCCCAGTCTTTGATTTAGATCCAACTTCACGCCCATGGGCCTAGCTCGTGTCTGGGATGCGTACCTTCCAGTGAATCACAGCAAAAGAGCCATTTGCGGCTCTACTTTGGGAAAACCCTCAGGAGAAATTACTGCAGCCCTTCTCTAAAATAATTGTCTTTATTTTTTAAGGGCACTGTGAATTATATAACTGCCCAGGTTTCCTTTTTATTTTTATTTTTTTGCATTGTCTGCTAGAACCAAATTTGTACATTTTCTGTGATTATATTTCTGAGGCTTCATTACTGACTCAGCTTTACTCTTTCTTTGCTTAATTCCTAGTCAGTTTAAGCTATCTTATTATATGTATAGCTATATATATAATAAAATGTTTTACTTACAGTTAACATTCAATATTACTTTACATTAATTTCAGTTGTGCCACATAGTGGTTAGACATTTATGTAATTTATGAAATGATTCCTCTGATAAGTCTAGAACTCACGTGGGGCCATACATTGTTATTATAATACGATGCTAATATTCTCATAAATGCCTTAAATTATTTTCTGAAACTAGATAATCTGTAAGTAAAATATACACATGAATTGTAAGTAAATAAGTAATTTGGCATTAGAGTATCTATTCTAATTTGTACTTCTTTGTATTTACTTACTTATTTTTTTATTGAGCAACTGCTGTGTGTCAAGAACTAAGCTAGTATCTGGGAACCAGAAACTACTAGATGTTAGAATAAGGTTTTCAAATTAATGAACTAAAGTATATAGGATTACAAAATGAAAGAGATATATTGAACCACTGTAACCAAAATATTTTTCAAACTGAAAATTTTATGCCTGGGAAAAAACTATAAACACAGTATAAAAAAATCTTTGCAACACAGACAATAAACAAAAAGCTAATTTTCCCTAATATATAAAGAATTCCTACATATCAATAATAAAAAGACCAACAATCCAGTAGACTAATGAGCAAACAATTTGAGTACACAGTTAATAGGAAAGAAACTACAATGACCCTTAGCCTTATATTGACAAATATCAGAAAGTTTCATAAACCATCCTAGCAAGACTGTGGGAAAACAGACTCTCATACATTGCTCCTAGGTCAAAGTACAAATTAATCTAGCCTCTATGGAAGGCAATTTGGCGCTATCTATCAGAATTACAATTCTACGTACCTTTGACCCAGCAAATTCATCCCTTGGTATTTATACCACTGTTAACATTCACACATGTGAATTGATATGTCTGTATACAAGAACAGTTATTACTATATTGCTGGTTTTCAGAAAAGATTGGAAACCACCTAAACATCCATCAATGAGGAACTAGTTAAATGCATTATGGTATACCCTTATAGTGGTGTTGTTAAGAAGAATGAATCAGCCTTCTTTTGATGTGGAACATATTCAGGGTATATTATTGAATAAAAAAGAGCAAGGTACAAAACAGTCCAAAAAGAAACTACTATTTGTGGGGAACAAGGAAGGGAGAGAGACTAACCTTTTGTTACTTTAGAATTCACTCAAAATAAATTCTTTCATTATATACTTTTTCCTCCATTTAAATGCATTCAAATGCGAATTAAAAAATTTATAACTCCAGCAGTTCATAGCATTTTTCAAATGTTCATTAAAGAAAAGGCACATCAGTTTTAGGAAAGGCCTGGAGGAAGCTGCTGCCCAGCTAATGGGGAGTCTTAAGTGATCAGACCTAAATAGTAGCCCGTTGAGAACACGGAAACTTCGGGAGGTAGGCCTTGTTACCGATTTACATTGCAGGTTGGTGGGAGGGGTAATGGGGAAAACTAGGGATTCAAGGAGGGGAGGTGGCAGGAGCTCTGTGCTTCTAGCCTGGGGTTTCCATTTTCAAAGAGCCAGGAGAAGAAGGAAGCCTAGGGCCAAGGAGAGGGCAGGAGCACTGGGGGCAACCAGTCTTCACCAAGGGAGGAGTTTGCTTCTAAGCCACTGAAACCACTGTTCTCAGAAAAAAAGACCTATTAGGATGCCTGTTAATGACTGACCTGTGAATGACCCAGGACCTTGTACTGTCCCAGAGCCTCCGTGGCAATGTGAACAAGTCTCCTAAGAGGAAACACAGAGCTCTGCTGAATGCAATAGAGAAACACAGTGCTCCTCAGTGAGGGCCAGGGCTCATCCTGAATGGGGCTATGCTATCTTGTTGTATATTCTATTCTTCTCCTAAGGATAACGTGTAAATGTAGGTAACTTTTGTTTAAGCAATAGTCTTTGAAAGAATTGTTTTATTTGGCTGGGGGTGGGTGGAGTTCAGTATGTTCAGGTGTGGAAGCTTTTATTTTTAAGTTGTTAGTGACTGCATTTGAGATAAAAGCCTTATTTGGTGGCTTTACTTACTCTCACTAAAACTTCTGTAGCATTAGAATTGTAGCACTGTGTCTGATTGCCAGAGAGAGAGAGAGATGGATAAATGGATGGATGGATGGATAGACGAATGGATGGACAGATGGATGGGTATACAGATAGGTAGACAAATAGGCAGAACAGACAGATAGGACAGTTTGTTGGCCCAGTTCAAATTTCAGCTGCTAAAAAGACTATTTAGATCTTTGTCTTTCAACTGTGAATTAAAGGAATGGCCTTATTTTGAAGGGGGAGTCAGACACTGGTTGTTTGGTGGTTTTTTGGTGTGCATTGCATGTGTGGTTTTTTTAGTTGTCGTATCTTTTGATCCCACTGTAAGTGTACAATATAATGATTTTTAGTAAATTTATATAGTTGTGCAACCATCATCACAATCCAGTTTTAAAACACTTGCATCAGCCAAAAAATTTTCCTCATACCCATTTGTGGTCAGTCCCTGCCCCCAGCCACAGCCCCACCCACAACTGGTCTGCTTTCTGTCTTGAGTTTTATCTTTTCTAGAAATTTCATAGAATCATACAGTATGTGATCTTTTGTGTCTGGCATTATGGTTTTTTAGATTTATCTGTGCCTTTTACTTGGCATTATGTTTTTTCAGATTTATCTGTGTTGTTGTGTATATCAGTAGTGTGTTCCCTTTTGCTGCTGAGTGGCATTCCATTGTGTGAATGGACCACGTTTTCTTTATCCATTAAGCAGTTGAGGGACATTGGCTTGTTTCCCGTTTGGGGCGATTATGAATATGCTTCTGTGGTTGTTTTTACATGTGTTGTGTTTTGGCTTATTTGAAGAGGATTCTGTTCCTAACTCCTCAGGTGTTCCATGACACCTAGCAAAGTTCACAAAACCCCAAGACAGACTGTCTTAAGATTCTTATTATCCTAGCCTGCCGAGCACCATGCTTGGATTTGCATTGTCTCTCTGTCTAAAAGGAAGCATGCGTGTGCAACGGGTCCCAGTTCCCACTTATCTGAGAGCAATGCTATCTGCTGATTCAGGCTGACGTTCGAGTTTTACATTCCCTGTCACCTTTTTTCTTAGTATATATGAGGTTCGTGCAAAAGGAAAAATTACTGGTAATCAACCCATGATAAATCTGTTTAGGTACTCTTATCTTTCTATTTCTCTTCCATGTTTTCTTTAGCATTTTAATTTTTTTTAAACAGTATGGTAAAATGTATACTCAGTGTCGGAAAGAAGGAAGGGAGGGAGGAAGGGAGGGAGAAAGGAAAAACCAAACATGGGAATCCTTCAACAGATACAGAGTTTCAGTGCTGCAAGATGAAGAATTCTGTGGAATGCCCCTGAATTTTACACTTAAAAATAGTTATCACAGTTAATTTTATATTCATTTTATCACAATATTTTTAAAAAGTTTTAAATCAAACATAAAAAGGAATTATTTAGAATAAAAATAGAAAATAGTCCCTTACCGTGGAATTTCTCCTAAGAGGTTGCCATAGTTAACAGCTTGATGACTAACAATTCTTGCAGATTTTTTCAAATATAGTTTTAAAAATTTATAAACAGATTTTCAGGATCTTTTTCCCCTACATAAATGGGATCATGTATTCCTCTGTAGCTGGCCTCTTTTTACTTCATAATATATCATGGCCATCTTTTCATGTCAGTGTATACATGTCTGACTCACTTTTTTAAAGCACTACAAAATAATCAAAGGAAAGGTTAAACCAGGACCCTGCGTTCCTTGCAACTTTTGGTCTCTCAAAAAATGTAGTGAACATTCTTATGTCAGTATCTTCGATGAATGCTTGCATTGCTTTAAAATAGGAACCATAGATGTGCTCTTCAAAGGGCAAAAAGACAGAAGACACCCCCAACCCGCCTTCATACCGACCTCATATGTGAAAGGGCCAGTTGCGCCACGTCCTCACCAACGCCAGACATGATCAATCCTTATCATTTCAGGGGAATCTGATAAGAAAATAGAAACTCTGTCATCTTTTTTTTTAATTTGAGTTCTCTGATTATTGGTGAGGTTGAGCATCTTTTCCAATGTTTACATGACCATTTTGGTTTCTTTGGATTTCCTGTTTATGTATCAACTCCATTTTTTATTGAATTATTTGTATTTTTCATGTTGATTTATAGGAGCGCCTTGTATGTACTGGATAGCACCCTTTCTATTTTTTAGAAATATTTTCTTCCAGTCTATGTCTGGTCTTATAAAAACATCATCTCCTTCAGGGTATCTTCACCAATTTTCTATTCTCAAATCAGTCTTATGCTTCATAACTTCTACACTTCTTGGCTTGCTTAGAAAAGCCTTCCTCATTCAAAGATTATAAAAATATGTTCCCTCTATGTTTCCTTCAAATAGTTTTAGTGAAGTTTAGATTTTTTTAAGTATTTTGAGAGATAATTCATATTCCACACAGTTCACCCATTTACTAGATGCAAGTGAATGCTTTTTAGTATTGTCAGAGCTGAGAAACTATCACCACTAATTACAAAATGTTTCTATCATCCTAACAAAAAATTGATTATCCATTAGGAGTCGCTCCCCATCCTCTCCAACTCTCCCAGTCCGGGCAGCCATCAGTCTCCTTTCTATCTCCGTGGATTTGCCGATCCTGGACATTTCATATAAGTGGAGTTATACAATATGTGGTACTTTGTGACTAGTTTCTTTCATTTAGCATAATATTGTCAAGGTCCATCCATGTACTGTACCATGTACCAGTATTTCATTTCTTTTTATCACAAAATAATATCCCATTGTATGTATATACCACATTTTATTTATCTGTTCATCAGTTGATAGGTATTCAGATTGTTTTTACTTTGGTGCTATTATGAATAGTGCTGCTATGTACGTTCATGTACAAGTTTGAGGGCTTTTTTCTTTTACTTTTTTAAATGGTAGTTAAAAACATACATAACATTTCCCATTTTAACCATTTTTAGTTCACAATTCAGTGGCATTAAGTACATTCACAGTGTTATGCAACTACCACAACACTGTCCATTTTCAGGACATTTTTTTATTATCCTACACAGAAACTCTGTACCCGTTAAACAAAACCTCTGCATGTGACCCCTTCCTCCAGCCCCTTGCAACTTCTGTTCTACTTCTTGTCTCTGTGACTTAGCCTATTCTAGGTACTTCATTTAAGTGGAATCATACAATAGTTGTCCTTTTGCGTCTGGCTCATTTCACTTAGCATAATATCTTATATGTTGTAACATGCTTGAGAATCTCATCCCTTCTTAAGGCTGGATAATATCTCATTGTATGTATATACTACATTTTGTTTATTCATTCATCCATTATGGACTTTGGGGTTGTTTTTGCTTTTTGGCTATTGTGAATAATGCTGCAGTGAACATCGGTGTACAAGTATCTTGAGTCCCTCTTTTTACTTTTTTTCAGTATATACTTACAAATGGAATTGCTGGATCATATTCTATGTTTAACTTTTTGAGGAACACCAAACTGTTTCCCACAGAGGCTGCACCATTTTATATTTCCACAGGAATGAATAAGGGTTCCAATTTCTCCACATCCTCAGTAACGTTTGTTATTATCTGTCTTTCAGATTAGTGCCATCCTAGTGGGTGTGAAGTGGTATCTCCTTGTGGTTTTGTGTGTTTAGATTCTTTACTCCACCTTAATATTTTTTGGATATTTGTTTTCCAAATGGCAAGGCACTTTTAACACTATAGTGTTAAACTCTTTCTTCCCCTACTGATATTCCATTCCAATATCTAGAAACAGACCTATGTGTGTGTGTGTGTTTGTGTGTGTGTGTATTTATATATGACCTGTGTGTGTGTGTGTGTGTGTGTGTGTGTGTGTGTGTGTAGGTCTGTTTCTAGATATACATATATAGGTCTGTTTCTAGATACTGGGTTTGACACTTCATCTATTGCTATACCATTACCATACCATTTTAGTTACTACAGCTTTATAATATGTTTTACTGTCTGGGAGGACAGGTGTCTTTGCCACATTGTTCTTTTTCAAAATAATCTTAATGATATTTGAACATTGGTTCTTCTAGCTTAACTTGAAAATTAGCTTGTATAAAGTTTTATTTAAAAATCCCTATCAGCTTCTGATGAGGATTGCACTGAGTCTGCAGATCAGCCTGGGATATCCCTTCTCCTTTATATTTCTTATCACCTAAACCATTTTTACTATCTGTTTTTCATACCAATAGGAACGTGATAAAATAGAGGGAAAATACTGGAATCAGTTAGTTTGGTCCCCTTAAAGAGAGTCTGAGAAATATTTTGAGAAAGTTCTAAATTCAGAAGTAAAAAGAGCTAGGGTGGTGGAAAGGTAAAGAGGTGTTCCTTTCAGTTACCTGAACTGAAGTTTATTGCATCTGATTAAGGAATGGCCTCAGTCATTCCAGAATTTTGTTTTGTGGAATATAAATATGCCCCCTTACACCCCACCACACATACTTATTTTTTGTCTCTAGTATGATGCTGTCCGAATAAACCAACTCTATGAGCAAGCCAGGTGGGCCATTGTCTTGGAAGAAATTGACTGCACAGAGGAAGAAATGTTGATCTTCGCAGCACTGCAGGTGTGGGAACTTCAAACCTTTTCTCTAGGAGACTAAGCAAGTTTGTTCTGCTTAAGTTTTATTTTACCATACTGGTTTTTTTCTTTTGAAGAAAGCAGTGAAAATGAGGGGAGTAAATTAAAATTTTAAATGCTCCTCATACATACATGTGTCTGTCTTACATAAAGCATTAGTCTTGCAGTTCTTACCTCTTCCCCAGTACAAATTCAACCAGCGATAGAGAAGAACCAGGTTAGAACATGACCAACTATAAACCTCAGAATGATTCAGATAAAAATGTCATTTTCTCTGCAGAGGAGGAAGATTTCCATACAGGAGGTGTTTGGTTTTACAATGGGGAGTTGTCCCCCCAAAAAAGAACTGGCTAATGGATTCACTTGTGCTTATACCACTTCTAAAACCTGTTTTCTTTGTAGTATCACATTAGCAAACTGTCATTGTCAGCTGACATACAGGATTTTACAAATGAGTCTGAGGTCGATGAAGTAGAAGCAGCACTTTCTAATCTGGAAGTGACCCTTGAAGGTGGAAAAGCGGACAACACTTTGGTATGAACTTTTTTGGTATCTCTGAATTGTGGCTTTGTTCTGACTGACAAATGTAGGTGAAATTTTTTTATTAGAAATATGAAAATATTTTGTCTCAATTTGAAAAAAAAAGAAAACAGGCTTGTCATCTGACAAGCTTAAACCTAGCCAGGATTGACTAGCTTTTCTCAAGTCAGCTCTGAAAGGAGCTATAAGATATTTTCATTACTACTTATGACAGTGCTTTTGATTCACATTTCTTCTTTGGGATGAGTTGCCGTGGCATGAGCGAAAGACCACTAAGAACTCCATTTCACTATGTGGAACATGGAACTGGTTACTTAAGTCTAGAAGGAACCCTCAGTCTATTGTATGGGTTAGCTGTGGGAATAGAAAAAGGTGCTTTACAGGTAACAAAGCCTTATTATCTGTTTACCTAGTTATACCTTTCCACTGGGTAAGGTTGACAGAAGTGAGCGCCTTTTTCTAGAACATGATAAAAATTCCTTGAACCCTTTTGACTTCAGGAAATAAACACCTCCCCTTAGTAAAACATAAAGAAATAATACAGTTTTATCATCTTTTGCTCCTTATCCATGAAATGTGGCTAAATGTCCACTTTATAATTGGAATGTCCCTCCTGTTTGATTCATTGATTGGGTGCCACTCTTTTGTTTAACTTTTTGAATCATGGGAGTAGTTCACTCGCATTGATTCAGAGAGGTGGATCCATTGTAATTAGATTTTTTTAAAAGTAGGAGATAAAAATGAGTCACTGCATTCTTATGTAGTTAATATGTGTTCGCTTAGGATTAAATTCCTTAAAGTAGGAACTTGGTATCATGCAAAAACAAGTGCCTGAAACAAACTAAATGCCAAGATTCTGTAGAGATTCAGAGCCTTCTCTCACATTTATAGGCAACACTCGCTCCATGAAATTGGAGTTCTTTATTCCCCCACTAAGTATATACAAGAGGAAATTGTTCCTTCTTAGAATAGATGAAAATTTCCCTCCTTCCGCCCTCAATATTTCTATGTCAAGGCTTTGTGATGTCAAACAATAGGCTTTTAAGCTTGAAAATAAACACCAGCCCACACTGTAAAATGAACTTTGTACCAGATACCTTTTGAGAGTTTAATCAGTAAACTAGATGCACCTAGAATTACTCACTCTGGCGTACAAGTTGTAAAATAATTTTGTTTGTACATAAAAGTGATTGTTTCTAACTCAAATGTTTAACTTGAATGGTAGGTACAGGTAATTCTTAGTCAAATTTTTAATCTCTTTTTCTTATTTTTATGACATATGACACATGCAGAAAAATGAAAAAAACAAAAATGACTACTCATATGTGGAATCTAATGAACAAACTGAATTAAGCAAAATAGAGACGGAGTCAGGATAGCAGGCTGACTGCTTAGGGTGGGGGGTGGGTTGCAGAGTAGAAGAATCAAGCAAAAAGAGCAAAAGAAAAGGACTCGTGGACATGGGCCACAGTATGGTGATTGTTGGGGGGATGTGGGTAGAGGAAGAAGAGGGTAGAAAAGGGATAAATGGTAATGGAAAAAAATACAAAAAAAATTTTAATGTACAACCTAATAAATTAGTATTAAATTATCACCCAAATCACCACCCAAATCAAGAAACAACTTTTTTCCCAGCCACCACGGAAGCCCCTGCATGTGCCCCATCCCACTCCCAACTCTTCCCCCCACCCCACCCCCCAGACCGAGGCAGCTACTGGGTATGTGGCTAGTGTGCCTGGGGAACTGAGTTTCTCATTGTAGTTAACTGTAATTCATTCAAATTTAAATAGCTGCAATGGTGAGTGGCTATGGTCTTAGACAGTTCAGGTATAGACTATCAGCACCGCTGCTTATGAAATGTTATCTGTTTTTCCTTAGGAGGACATTACTGATATCCCTAAACTTGCAGATAATCTCAAATTATTTAGGTAAGTCACCCTTAAAGGGAAAAGGGATTACTCCTAACAAAGCCTTATAGGTAAAGAGTCCAGGAATTTCAATTGAACATCCATTAAACAGATTCATGGTTCAAACACAAGAGCATGAGCTTTGACATCAGACAGACAATGGACAAAATCCTAGCTCTTCTACGGCGCAAGCTAGCCAGGTGGCCTTGGACATTGTCCTCATGTCTCCGAGCCTTAGTTTCCTGATCTATAAAATGGAGATGTACCTTCTCGGGTTTGCTGAGAAGATTAAATAAAATAACGCGTAAGAAGCATGGAGCATGGTGCCTGGCTCACAAAACATGTCTGACACATGGCCATGTAAACATGGCCAGTGTCAGCAAGAATGAACACGTGTGCCAGACCGGAGTTTCTGGGAAGCTCCACCGGGGGGTGCTCAGGACTCCGACACCACTTCAGGGTTCTTTCACACTTTGAAAATCGGTTGTCACTAGGACTTGGATCCTGGGCTTAGAGAGAGAAGAACCTTAGTTATCTACCTTTGCCAGTTAAAGCGTTTCTGATCAACTCCCAGTCCCCTCAGGTCAATCTGAAACTGTTGAAAAGGCAGAGAAGTTTCTCATTTCATGGAAAAAACAGACTGCCACGTTTGTGGTGGTGCCAAGGTGTGTTAGGATGAAAGGAAGAAGGACTCTTTGAAGTGCTATCAGTTACTCATGTCACTTTATGGTTTGTTGACTTTTCTTAACATGACAATTCACTGGGTCATTGGACTTGAAAAGAAACAAGTTGCTTTTGATAATACATAATGCAAAGAAAGACTTAGAAAGAATGAACAATGAATCAGGTAGAAATGAGAAACAGGAGTCCAAAGATAATATTTATCACTGGGTTTCTATGGGCTTGTTCTCTTTTTCATATGTGATCTGAGGATGTGGTCTCAAACAATGGGGTCATTAATTTAACCTTTGTGGCATAAAGAGTTGCAACCATGCATATTGTTATAGTCAGAGCCACAGAAAAACAGTCATAAATTGAATCCACAAATATATCTTCATAAACTATTAATAATTGTACTACGAAGTAGGTTGCCCTATTCTGTGTCTAGAGCAATTCCAGCTCTTTATAAACCAAATAGTGACAGCTTCTTTCCTGTAGATGTTTTAGATGAAGAAGATATTCTGGAGTAAAGCCCTACATGTACATCACGTTAGTGGGATTGATATGTTCAGACTCACAAAATTGCTCTCATTTGACCAGTGGGCATTTTATCTATCAAAGGTCTCAAGGTGCTGAATGTAATATACTATAGTTCTTGGAAGTGAAGGAGGAAGAGAAAGAGGGAGGAAGGAGAGTGGAGAATGGAGCTCTGTTCCTAGTGAGCGTGTGACCTTGAGTAGGCCCTTCCTTCCCCTGGGCCTCCTTTCCTTATCAGTAGAAAAGCATTGAACTAACCCTTTGATGTCCAATGTTGTTTTTTTTAAACATTGAAGCTTTCTTCCCTAAACAAAATCAGTTGAATCCACTATATAAATAATGGACTTCAAATTTCAGCAGCATGCTCTCTGATCTACTGTGACTCCCAATGTTACCATAAATACATATGAATGCTGGATAAAATAAAAATTAAAAAATTGTAAATACAAAGTTGATCGTGAAGCGAGACTGAAACATCCCAACTTGCAGGAAATAAAAAGGGACCTTAGTTTTACAAAGGAAGCCTCAGCTACACAGAGGGAGTTGAGCCATGGACAGAATCTCATGGCTTGAGGCTACAATTTTTATCCCCATTGCAGGGATCAAAGGAGAAGCTTTAAGGCAGGGTATGCTTTGTTTAAGGCAGTGAGCCAGGACTGAAGCCTTTGCCTGAAGGTAGAAACTCACAAAGGCTGCCTTCTCTATTTAATGGGGATAGAAAACTACCCACCAAACAAAGGAGGCAGTAAGGAAGTTCATGCTAGCCTGGGGTTCTGTGTGGGGAAGTGAAGTCTCTCTCGAGAACTCAGAGCCAAAGTCTATGCCACACACAGATGTAGATCTAAATTTAAATATTATATGATAAAAAGAATCCTGAGAAAATAAAATAGAAACTGTATTAGGACCACAAAATCTATGAAGTCCTAGCAAATGTAACTTTAAAAATCCTTGGAGGGAAATATCCACAATCTGGCATGCATGGGCCTTCTATAAAAAACTATAACCCTCTTAAAAAAAATAAATAAAAAACTTCCAATAAAAATTACTAACCATTTGAGTTAATGAACCACCATAAAGGAAAAACAGCAGACCCAACCAATGAAAGGATTAGCAGTTTCAATACTTTTAGATAATGTTACCATTTGAAGATACTATAAAATGAGTATGTTTTAAATCATTAAGTAAATTAAAAGGTAGAAATTACAATGAAAGAGAACAGGCTATATTGAAAAGGAACCAAAGAAAAGTTCTAGAAATAAAAAAACGTAGTCACAGAGATTTAAAATTGAATAAGTACATTAAACATAAAGTTTAAAAACACAATTGAAAAGAGAACTCACACAGGTAGAAGTGGGAAGTGTGATATAAATAGAATGAGAAGGTTCAGCTGGGAGTTCCAGAAGAAAATATCAAGGAGAAGCAGGCATTTAAAAGAGAATACTTGAGAACTTTATATATTTATTAAAGACAAAGATCCTTATGTTCAAAAGTTACAGATCCCAACAAAATAAATCAGTATATTTATACATCTTGATACAGCCAACCACTGATAAGAGAAAATCTTTAAAATAAGAGAGGAAAGACAGATTTTTCTACAGAGAAAAACAGTTAAATGGACAGCAGACTTCTCTTTGGGGAAATATCTTGAAAGTGCTCAGAGAAGGTAACAGTCAATCAAGAAGTTTCTTCCCAACTAATTCTTTAAGATTCTACTTTTTGCAAACCCCCTAAGTATAAAGCAGACAAGACACATTCCTGCTAGTGAATTACATATTTAATAAAAAACAATGATTTATGCACAACTGGAAGGTGCAACCACCATTGGAGAGACTACTTTGAAATAAATTAAATGGCTCCACAACTGGGTTTTAGAGAAGGCCACACATAAAATTCAACAAACTGACCTTTCTAAATTCATTCATTTTTAATTTATATATTTGTGTAGGTTTAATAATATATATAATTCACTGTATCATTGGTCAAGTTCCCATAGATAAGTAAGCAAGTTACTGTAGCCAAGAGATTTCACTCAGATTTATACATTGTGCTACAGGAGATTATCAGTGAGATTCATTTTATAAATACAAGACTCTTAAAATATAGTAGAATCTTTATAATATTTACAATTTATGGTTACATGGAGAGTGACCATAAAAATCTTTTGGTCCCCCATCAGGGCTCACTGGTTATCAGATGGAAAAGTCCCTGATGTGCAATTATACACTTTTGTTTTTTCAAAAAATGTTTTCCCAATCTATGACCTTTCTGTGATGACAAGTGGCCATGAGCCGTAAGCTTCCAGATGCTTTCAAGATAATAAACACCGTCTTCAAGAGCACACTTTGAAAACACCTATTTGGAAATGTTTTCATTGTCACAGTGTTGTCAATAATGACACTGCCTGTGAAAACAATATTGCCTGGACACCTTTGAAATTTGCAAACAGAATTTGTGTAAATGTCATCCAAATTAAGAGTTATAGTGTGTCTTAAATATACTTACTTAAAACATATTCTGACTAATATGCCTGAGTGATTAACATCTGAGAAGATAGAAATGAGTGGCTTTGTTTCAACAAAAACCTTCACGGACGGGTACATGGCATTAAAACACGAACGATGCGATTCAGTCAACACGGCCGACAGTGCACTTCCTCACCTGGGGTTTATGCGCTTGAGTAATCACCTCCTTCTTAAAACAAACCGAACTTTCTAAATTCATTCATTTTTAATTTATGCATTTGTGTAGGTTTTATAATATATATAATTTATTGTGATATAAATACAGGGGTGGGCAGAAGTAGGTTTACAGTTGTGAGAGCATGAAACAGTTTTTTCTTGTGTTATTATTTATTTGTATTACAACTGTAAACCTACTTTTGCCCACCCCTATATACAGAATATCACAAATAAACAATTGTAAATATGTTAAGGCAGCGATTTTCAACCAGTGTTCTACAAGAATTTTAAAAACATGCAATACCTGATTGGTTAGTCAGGGGCACTGACCTCTTTTCCCTGAGCTCGTCAAATAAAAAAAAAATGACATCAGCCAACACAATAATAGCTATCCAGTGTGAATGAATCAAAACTATACCTTTTTTTTTTTTTTTTTGTCAGATCAGCAAAAAAAAATCTATTTTTTGGTGTGCTGCAGAATTTTGGTAGTTACTTTATATGTGCCATGAGATGAAAAGGTTGAAAATAACTATGTTAAGGGACAGGTACTCAAAATATTCTAATGATGGAGTGTGCCCGGTGTTAGTTTGGAGATTACTAGTCCAAATTAGTGTTTCTCAAAATCTGGGGAACCACCTTAGGAAAGCTCACTTAAAATGCAGAGCCTGGACCTTAACCTGGATCTACGAATCTTCATCTTGGGGACTGGGACCTCTGAAGAGCTTCCTTCCAACTCTGATGAGCACCGGGGCTTAAGGACCACTCTTCTAGAAAATAAAGTCCAGCTCCTTAGCAGGACGTTCAAAGTCCCAACCCAGCTCCAAACTACCTTGCCCTTCTCCCTGCATTATCCCCCACACGTGGAAAAGCTGTAGCCGCAGAGACCTCTCCTCTCCTCACATTTTCATTGCTCAGCACAATGCCCAGCATGAGGTTAGTGTTCAAGAAATGCTCAGCCCAACTCTTGTCAACAAGGTGCCCAGCTCTGATTCACCTCTGCATTTTGCATGTGCAGTTGCCACCTTCTGAAATTTCCCTATTCCTCCAATCAAATTCTTATTCATCATTCTATGGTTAAATGCTGCATCCCTCTATAACTCCCTGCACCCCTGTTATATGACTTACCATATTTTATTGTATTTATTTACTTCGTGCATTACCCTCTTCAAACTATGACCTTCATGAGGATTCAAGAGACTGTCTCGTTCTTACGTACATCATCCCTCACACAACCACCTTCCCTACTCCCCATCCCACTACCTGGCCTGCCCCAGCCTCTGGGACGTGGAATAAGAGCAATAACTGTTAGCTCAGGGGATGGAAACAGCCTGGAGGGTGAACGAAACTGAAAGGGAACGGGAAAATTTGAGAGTTTGTTGATATTTTCAAAGTCCAGTTAAAATGGAGAAGCAGGGTTTCATACCTCATTCTGCATAGAAATATTAGGACGCCTGGGACTAAACTGAGACCTTACTACTTTTGGTTATAGACTGAGTCTTTAGATTTTATTCTGAAAAGACTGTCAATGTTGGGGAATCTGATTCTTAGATTCAGATGTGTCTTTTTCTAATCTTTTAAATATATTCTTTAGAATATTAACTACAGCTCCCAACACTTTCATGCAGTGGTTTTCTAAATCCTGGAAATGTTAACTTTATATGATGTTTTTCAATTTTGTTTTATAATTTTTAGGTAATATGCTCCTTCTGTACACTGTCTTTTAGTGAGCATCTTCTCCCTTATCCTTGTGCTAAACATACACACCTTTTTTTAGCTAAGTAAAGATAAGTACTGATGTGTTAAAAAGACTTGTCCAAAATTATATATGCGTGGTATTAACGCCAAGCTTCCTCTCTGTCTTCCATTCTTGAATGTAGAAACCCTGTCCTCTTCCATGAGATACCATGATCCACCCCCAAAGCCAGGATTATTCCACTGAATCACACACAAATCATAGTATCTCCTCTCTGCCCTTCTATACCCCTGTGTCACTCCATAGGTATCTCATTGTCTATTTTAGTGACTCAGCTGAGTCCTGCCGGGGGCACTGTCAACCTTGTATAGCCCAGAGAACAAAGCTTCCTGGTCCCAAATGACATCACTGTGAGAGATCTTCCCCCAAAGTATTTTTTAACAACAATAGAGCCTATATAGATTAGCCGTAGGTTTTGGTGCTTTCCATGGATCACAGAATTCTCTGGTGGTTTCTCTCGAGGGTCAAGAGAAACTACAGAAAAGGTAGCTCACTTCTGTGTCTGATAAGTTGAAGGTTGTGTGTCCCCATGGACAGCTCTTTCCGAGCTAAAGAGTATATGGGAATTTCAGATGTCGCAGATTCATGGATGTTTCTTACATATAAAAATAGTTATTGTTAATAATGTTTATAATTAGTAATTTATTATTTATTTAGCACTTCAGTTTCAGGTGCTGTGATAAGCACTTTACAGAGATTACCTCTCTCCCTCCTCACAAAAGCCCTGTGAGTGGGAGGCTATTACTCTTCCCATCACACAGAGACAACGCACACGGGGGGCCCAGGCAATTGAAGTGCCTTTTCTAGGGTCACATGTCTAAACGGTAGCAGAGCCTGAGTGTAACCCTGGGTGGTCTAACTCTTTTTGCATTAACTTCTACATCTCATAGCAAAACCCCATTTCTAGTTTCTGGAAATGAGTGGGCAATTTGCCAGTTGTTTTTAGAAATAAGCACGTGTTGTTTGAAAGACCGTCTTGATCTACTTGAAATTTGTGATGTTTCTTCCCTGCATTCCTGGATGGTTGTTTAAATGCTTGCCATACTTCTCATTTACAGGCCCAAGAAGCTAATATTAAAGGCTTTCAAACAATATTGGTTTGTCTTTAAAGACACATCTATAGCCTACTTTAAAAATAAGGAACTTGAACAAGGAGAACCAATAGAAAAATTAAACCTTAGAGGTAAGACGTTCTACATCTTGCTGCGGTTTGTCATGAGCCAGCGGGCAGGTGGAATCCAAACCCCTATCGCCGAAGGGAGCTTGCCTTCCAGCGTGGCACTGTGTTCGTGAGGGCAGCTGGCCTGCAGCTCCCGTTCCCCATGGCGCATGGGCCTGGAGTGTGGTTTAGTATACCTGGTTATTTCTATTCTGCTGTTTCTTTGTTTCCCGTGTGTCTAAGTCTATGAAGTGGTGGTAGTTGGCGTCATAAGTATAATACATTGTAGGACCCTGAAAAGCTTTCTGAATTCCACAACAGTTATGTTTAATTCAGTGTTGTGTTGGTGCCTATTCTATTCTGAAAGTGACTGTGAGTGTATTGGTTATTCTATTAGTTGAAATATTTTATAACCAGTACACTCAATTCCCTTATCATTGTAGCAGAGAATTTGCTGTGCTCTGATTTACTTTAATAGTTCATATTCATAATCATTCCTATGGGTTAGGATAGCCAAATCAACCTTAAAAATGAATTCAATTGATGATATATTTAAGAAAATCATAAAAGTATTTTTCTCAATCCATGTCAATTGTTTATAAATCTTAGTTATTCTTTAATTAATGTTAGCAGTTTGCTCCTTCATTTTTCAGAAAAGAACCAAATCTGAGGGGCTTATGTTTTTAGATGCACGCCTGATATTTATATAACATATTCTTCAAAACTCAGTTGTGAGCCTGCCTTTTATTATTCAGGCTGTGAAGTTGTGCCAGATGTGAATGTGGCAGGAAGGAAATTTGGAATCAAGCTACTAATCCCTGTTGCTGATGGTATGAATGAAGTCTATCTGAGATGTGACCATGTAAGTACAACCATACAAATGTTCAGTCACTTCACCTTTATTAAACCTAAGGACAAACCATCTGAGGTGTTTTCTCAAATGAGAACAGGGTTGTATTGGTCAGCTATTGCATTGTAACAACCACAAAATCACAATGACACGCAGCCACATATAACAATGACCAATAAACACTCGTTTCTGAAACATCTGCAGGGAGGCTGGGGTAGATGATCCAGGCTGGTGTCAGCTGCGCAAACCTGCTTCGAGCTGTAGGTCTGGCCAAGCTTGGCTCTTCACTGCAGGTCGGGCTCATTGTATTTATTTTGGGTCCCAGGCTGCCTGGGGAGGCCCTTCTCACAGGGATGGCAGAAATGCAAGAGAACAACTGACAACATGTGAGACCTCCTAACACTTAGGCTTGCAGTTGGTACGCTGTTGTTTCCACTCACATTCCATTGGCCAATGCAAGCCTTATGGCTGGGCCCAACATCAAGATGTGGGAATTACACTCTGGCTCTGGTGGGAGGGGCTATGAAATTACATGGTAAAGAGTGTGGAGATTGAGGCTGATAGTTACCCACACCTACCATTGCTGTGAAAATTACACTCCTCAGCTGCATCCCCTCAGCTTCTGAGACCACTCCTCTTTGCTCCCTAAAGTTTAAAAAAGAAAAAATGGGTACAGACATCAAAGATAGAAGGCATCACTCTGGTTCAGATCTCATCAACGAACCTGACTCCTACTATGGGATTAGAGTCTTTACCAATGATAGGCGAGGGTAGAAATAATACGGGAAATCAGAGATCAGATGTGATCTAAAAATGGAAATATGTGTCAAGGAAGGCTGTCTGGCATCTCAGCTGTCTGTGCTCCATGGCACATGTCTTTGGTTTATCTTTAAATTCATAGAATTTATCAAGACTGACATTGCTATTCTCTAGCCCCTTATCATCTAGAAACTCAACACAGGAAACAAAAGTCATTGTTGGGTGTTAAATTAGGTGATTAATAGCCACTCAGAACATTTGCCACTTTGATGTTTCCGTGCTTGGAAGGTGACAGCTTTGTATTATGAAGATGAAAGTCCAAATCCTGCTGTTCCCAACAGGATGGCTTTGCACTTGAACTTGCTTCTCAGCCCTCCTGTGTTTGCTGCAGGAGAATCAATATGCCCAATGGATGGCTGCCTGCATCTTAGCATCAAAGGGAAAAACCATGGCAGATAGCTCCTACCAGCCAGAGGTCCTCAACATCCTTTCATTTCTGAGGATGAAAAACCGGAACGCGACATCTCCAGTGGCTCCCAGTCTCGAAAACATGGACGTGAACCCAGAATGTTTTGTGTCACCTCGCTGTGCAAAAAAACACAAGTCTAAGCAGGTACAGCTAATCTTGTTGGGGTGACTGTTTGCAGCGAATTCTGTATTTTCTGAAATAAAATGAGGAATTAAAAATGAATGAGGAATTAAAATCAGTTGATGGGCAAATTTGATTATAGGCTGGGTATTAGATTATATTAAGAAATTATTGTTAGTTATGTTAGAAGTGTACTGCTAACTGAATATAGCAATATGCCCTGATATAATTTAATTAAAATAAAGTGATTTAGTCCCTACAGATTAAAATTTTAAATTATGCTTCCATAAGCATGGGTTAAAAGTTAAACAGATAAACTGATTCAAATAGACTATTGCCCATCACTATCCCAGGAAGAGACCCAAAACTCCAGCTGCATGAACCTTAGAAGCTTTTGTGTTGGTTCGTCTTGTTTCTGCTTCTCCCTGCTGATTTGCATGTGTGGGGGGGGGGGTGGAGGGTGCAGATATGAATGAGAATAAATTGTCTTTGTAGAGCTACAGTTGGACTTTACATTCATTCCCCTTATAGGGCATCTGGAGCTCCGATGGGATGATTATACAGCAGTCAGTGCATGCTAAGGAGAGTTTGATGTCTCTTTTTCTGTTTAGCTGGCTGCCCGGATTATGGAAGCCCACCAGAATGTAGCCCAGATGTCCCTGGTGGAGGCCAAGCTGCGATTTATTCAGGCATGGCAGTCTCTACCTGAATTCGGCCTTACCTATTACCTTGTCAGGTAATTACAATGTTCACTTGCCTCTCACTTTTCATTCAATTGTAAGTGGTATTCTTGGAACCCAGTTTACTCTCATTTGGTCTAGAATGTAGAACTCTTTATTTTAGAATACTGCCCTTTCACAAATGGCCCAAAACTTTTGGCTGCTCATAAAGATCTTCTATACCTCGGTCCAAAGTGCCAGTACCTGTGAATCCTAGCTAAAGGTGGGAAAGGAAATCTGGTCCTTGTAGCATAGCAACATTTGCAAAAGCAGAGAAATGACCTAATATTCTATGAAATCTGACCTCCTTTCATGTCAAGTTCCTCCCTCCCCACTAGACTATTAATTCCATGAAGTCAAGAATTTTCTATCCATTTAGGTCACTGCTATGGTATCAGTGTCTAGAACAGTGCCTGGCATACCCAGTTGGTGCTAATTTTGAATTCATTAAATTGACCCCCCTCTTATTTTGCTGTCCTCTAATGTTAATTTCACTTAGAGAATGTCTTCAGGACAACCTTAATTCTCTCCATTCTTCACGTTCTCTATATCACAATAAAAGTGCCCTTCGTTAGAAAGTAAATCCCTCATTGTCCACTCTTCGTAAATGATTTAGAAATGTTGGTATTATTTATCTTTAAGAAGTTGTATGCGAGTAAACATCACGTTACAGGAAGTAGTTGCTTCTTTTAATTAATTTTTTTTTCAGATTTAAAGGAAGCAAGAAAGATGACATTCTGGGAATATCATATAATAGGTTGATTAGAATCGATGCAACCACTGGTATTCCAATTACCACATGGAGATTCACCAATATGAAACAGTGGAATGTAAACTGGGAAATCCGTCAGGTAAAGTGAAAGTTTGGGATATATTTGGTGCTAAACCTGTGTGTGCCTTCAAAATTGCAGATTATTCTGATTTAAAAAGCTGTTTTTATATTTAGAACTCGGAAACCACAAGCATGTGGCAGTTGTTTGCTAAAATAATCACCAGCAGTTCTGGGAAGTTTCCTAACAAGTACAGACCAAAAGTGTTTTCAGTTAACCCCACTAATTGGCTTAGTCTCCATACTGACTCCAAAATTACTGAGCAGTTTGATTCATTTCCTTCAACTCCACATAGGATTCTATAAGACTTGGGCTGATAATTACTTGGTAAAAACTGCATGCGATGTAACTGTCACCCAAAATAAATCCAAATAAAGGTCTCTGACTGGCTGCCAAAAGGTCTAACCGTTTGAGGACTCAGATGTTCCTTTGCCCACCTGGAGAGCATTCCAGCCCCAAAAGGGAAAAACTGCTGGAGGAGCAAGTGAGGTGCACAGGGATGACTGAGAAAAGCTTTGCCTCTTGAGTTGAGGAATCCCTGAACTCTCAGCGCCCCATCAGCTGCATCCAGGGAACTTAGTTCAGGCCAAGGCTACTTCATGGGAACTTCTAGGTGGTTAGAGCACCTTAGTGTCCTGCTGGTATAGAATCTCTCTTCATTCACTTCCTCATTTTTTCCAGCAGAAAACCATCAACATAGCGGCACAATAAGTGACTCACACTTTTTTAAAGGACCACGATTTCTGGCAGCAGGGCTGTTAACAATCTGGGTGCGCATTTGTGGAATGAGGGCCTGAGATTAGATGACTTCCACAGGAATGGTTCTAAAATCGTTTTACATATTAGGATCACTGGGGGAGTTTAAATATCACTGCTTAGGCCACTCCCAGGACCAATTAAAGCAGAATGTCTAGAGGCAGTAGCTGGTTCCTCAGGTGACTGACTGCAATGGGCAGCCAGCAATGAGAACCCTTACTGCCTCCTTTTCTACTTAGAGTTTATGACTTTCAGCTGGGAGGGGTTGTGAGCCAGTGGCTTGAGGAAATTTTAGACAGCTCTTTTATACTCTATTAAAAACTCTGTAAAGTACCCTACCCTTCGATACAAGTCGTGCTTAGAAAGTTCTACTTCTACACAACAGACAAAGTATATGTATGTGTGTTGGGAGTTAGAATGTTTTGCCAGGTTCACAGCAAAGTTGACGCCACATGAGGGCGCAGAGAGCAAAGACATGTTTTCTATAAGCAACTAGTGGAAGCAGTAGCTTTTGTGGGTTTTGGGGGAAAATCCATCTGTCAGCCACCTCAGCAGTCCTCCACCTCCAGCAAAACAACTTCTTTCTCATCTTTCCTTGTCAGAGGCTAAGCTTGCTTGTGTCTTCTCTTCCAGGTGGCAATCGAGTTTGACCAGAACGTCTCCATTGCGTTCACCTGCCTGAGTGCAGATTGCAAGGTTGTGCACGAATACATCGGTGGCTACATTTTCTTGTCCACCCGTTCCAAGGACCAGAATGAAACACTCGACGAGGACCTGTTCCACAAGCTGACAGGTGGTCAGGAATGAAGCAAAGCAGGCCTGCTGGGCCTACATACAGAGGGCGAGCCAAAGGTGGACCTCCCAGAATGGTGGGATCCATGGCTTGCAGAGTGTGTAGGTTCCAGACTGATAGACAACGTATATTCACCGTCACTCACCCAGATCCTTGCCTCATTTTGAACACACTGCCTAGCTCACCCCTTTGCTTACTTTGCCTTGTGCTGCCTACAGTGGAAGCAGCCTCAGTTGCCTTTCCTGTAAAGTGGGAGGGCAGGAGAAAGGATAGTAGTCTAAGGTTACTCCAGGGCCCAGCATGTAGCTTGAATTCTGTGACTTACAGAACTTGCAAGGGTATGGCTAGAAGTTGTACTGATAAGACAGCATAGAAAACAGAAACTTTAAAAGCACATGTGACAAGCACAAATCTTATTCTATAAACTCAGGTATGAAAAGAAATAGGTTGTTCCCTAATAGAACTGCTTTTAGCTCCCCTCTTGTGAAAATGGCAGAAGGAATCCACATGTATGCATTTCCCATGAATGTCAAGGTCTGGGGGTAGAGTGAGGAGAGGTGGAATTTCCTGATAGCACTTGGTGACAAGGGATCAAAGCAGCGGCCCTCAGTGTAGTCAATCCACAGTGACTTCTGCCAAGGTGCTCACTGACCCATCTGGTTGGGACAGTGGTTTTCTCGGGTTACCACTGCCTCCCACAAGTCCTGTTCCGTTCTGGGGACCCCTTGACCACCTTTCTGTCCTTCTTGATGACATGGGTGACACAGGTACAGGGAACCTATTCCTCAACTCAGCCCCATGTCTCCACTGCTTCTGCCCTGGGTTGGGACTCAGGAAGACAGGCCCTATTCTCTCTGTTCATAAAACCACCTCTCCACATCCACGCTTCCAACGAGGTCCCCATCCCACTGGTCATGAACAGAAGGGCAGGGCAGGCCAGGCCCATTCTCAAGACCACATGTTAAAGGGCTGAAGGCTTTCTGTCTACATGGCCTTCGGCTGGTCTGGGGGGCAGGGCTGCCTTGCTCTTATCACTCCTCAGTGTTCTGGATTTGGTATCTATCTGTTTAGGTGGCTTCTGGCCTTTCCCATTAAAGGCCATGGCTTTCGTAAATCAAAGGCTGGTCATACACTTCTTTTCTCTCTGCCTTAAAACATGAGTGTGGGCCAATTAACAGCTGCCTCAGTTGTCATATTCTGCTTTGGTGTGTCAGCATTGGGAGGTGTGGGGTTTTGAGAAGGTAAAAAGCAATACCAACAGTAGTGGGAAATATCAGATAGTATTTTATTATTTTTTAATAACGTTCTTTTGTCACACAAAAGACTAGGTTGCCAGGGTAAGGCAGAGGCTCCATTTCCATTCTGAAGTTCTCTAAGATGCAAACTTCAGGGGGCCTGGCTGGAGCTCAGGTAGCAGAAAAGATCAGCTAGATCAAAAAAGATCAAAAGATGTTGCTTTATTTTGCAACAAAGCCTTTTGAGAAGAGAGATCTTCCGAATTCCTGGAGCCACAATGAGGCAGCCTTGGATAGAGACCCCGGGGCCCTGAGTCAGAAGCTGTCACTGGAAACTTCTCTTTCAGCCTCTCTTTAGAGGTCAGTGTTGTTGAACACTCCCTGGTGCCAGCGGAACTTCTGAGGCCCACCGTTAAAGCTCAGAAGTGGCTTAGGCACTTGGAAAATCAGGTCCATGTCATAAAGAATTTCATTTGAAATGTTTTATATAGAAACTAGTGCTGCGCATACTGTGTTAAACTTGGTGTTGGTCATTTCTATAGAGTCCTAGATCTGTAAGATTGTTAGGGCCTGCATTAAAATAATGCTCCTTGATGTGACATTTCACCTGTCTGTTGTTAAGTACAGCTCTGTATAACTTACCAAAGCCAGACCTTCAGTACAAGCCTCTTCCTTGGCGTTTTGGGGTTGTCTGACTTTTCCATGAAAATACTCAAAGAAGTTTACTAGTTTTAACCAGACTTTCAGGGAACATTTCTCCCATGTCTACACAGTCACATCCCAAAAGAATAAACAAGTGTGACACAGAAATCTTAAATGCTGCTGCTATTCCAAAGGGCAACGTAAGGACATTTTTTTACTTAGGGTGCAAAAAGTCATCTGACTAATGATGAAATTTTAAATTAATGTGTGCCTTTCAACCCCATTAGCATCTGTATCTACACTAGGTTGGGAAATCTGCCTTTTTTTATTATTTTTATATGAGTTTTAAATTAAATGGTTTATATGGATTTGAATATGGTCTAGTGTGTTCTCTCCAGTCTGCTGTTTCTAACGAAGTGAACATTTTTCTCTATTACGAAAAAGGAGTGCAGCTTTCAGGTTTAAAGTGTGATTTTTCTCACAATTCTGAGATTTGAGCCTGTTCTCCCCAGTGAGATTGACTTGGAACCTGTTGGTTTCAGCTCCCTTCTCATTGACCTCCACTAGATTTCCTGACATATCACGAGCTCTTTTGTTCCAGGTCTACCTTTTGGAAAAAGTACCAGAGAGCAAGGAAGTATCCAGAGGCCAAAGAGCATCAGAGGGTCTCTGATTTGATGGCCAAGTGTCAAGGGCCCGTCTTTGATTTACTGATAGATGGTCCATATGGGCAGTGATGTACCTCTTAATGCAACTCTCACATCGACCCAAAGAGGGCAGAGACAGTTTGCCTTCTCATTTCACAGAGGAGAAAACAGGCTCAGCCAGTGGGAGGGGGGTTGGTGGATGGGGCATAATAGGTGAAGGGATTGATAAGTACAAATCAGCGATTACAAAATAGTCACAGGAATGTAAAGTACAGCATAAGGAATATAGTCAATAATGTAACAACGGTCTGATGTCTGGGAGGTACTAGACTTATGGAAGTTACTTTGTAAGTTGTATAAATGTCTAACCACTGTGCTGTAGACCTGAAACTGAAATTGAATGTCAACTGTAATTGAAAAACAAAATGGGGGACTGGGGAAGGTGAAATAACTTTGCCCAAGGTAACACCACCAGTAAGTGGAACCAGATTCAAAACCGGGTTTGTCTCAACTCCAAAGACCACTAAGCTTAAATCTGAAAATCCCACCCTTCCATTTCCAGCGCTGCTCAGCCTTGAAATGCCTGTGCCCATCCCCAGCCCCAATGCAGGCTTCCCCTGACTTCAGTCCCCATTCCTCGCACTGGAAGGAGAGGGTGAGGGGTGTTGGGGAGTGCCTGCCCCAAAGTTAGCCGTGGGAGGTGCAGACGGGGCAGAAAGTGCTGGGAGCCAGAGAAACGAGCTGCCTAGAGAGTGTTTTATTTATGAGTCTGGGAAAGTTTTGTTTTCAGTCCGAAGTTAAAAAAGTAAGCACGTGAGCCCTGGTCAGTGTGACTTGGTTGGTTAGAGCATCATCCCATAAACCAAGCCAAAAGATCTCAGGTTCAGCTCCTAGTCAGGGTATGTACCCAGGTTGCGGGTTTGAGCAATCAGGGCAGGTACCAGAGACAACCAATTATGTTCCCACACAAATGTGATTCTCCTGACTCCTACCCTCCCCCTCTTCCACCCCAGAATCTCTGGGGAAGAGTGATGGTGGGAGGGAACATTTTCCTTCCAATATTTTTCCCCTTTTTACCCTTATGCTTCCTACCTCCAGGGTCTGTAGGGTCCTGGGAATCATAGATGGAAAAATTAAAGCTCATCTCTTGGCACTTTGTTGTGTTAAAGTTTCCCCATCCCCTTTCTCAACACGGGGCACCTCACTAAAGCTGTGTGGACATAGTGACTGCTATCAAAGGAGATGAAACATCAGCCATTGGGAGGACAGGCTCTCCGACGTCTTCAGAGCGGAACACTTTGCTGAATAAAGATAGGATTCTGGTAAGCCACCCTTGAGCCCAGAGATCCATGGAAGCCACTTTGGTAACACCAGATCAGGTGATTTAGAAAAAACCTCCCGACATTTGCCCACATATCCCAGGGCTCATCAAGACAGTTACCTCAAAAGAGCCCCTGTGAGTTAAAACAGGCATAAACAGAATGGCAATTAGAGGTTTCTCTCTAGACTCACTAATGCTCCCAACTGTGGAAAAGATTCTTTTGACCAAACAGATTTACTTCCTTCCTCTGATTCACTGTGTGATCTTAAAGATCCATAATTCCCCAAGGTGCTTCAGTTTCCTCAGCTGTTAACAAAGGAAAAATCCCACAGCCACTTCCCCTGGGGGACCTCTGAATAATGAATGTTGACTGAAAGCTTAGCAGGATATTATCTCTATCCTTCCACGTAAGGCAGGAGCTTCAAGCCAGGGAGTTGCATAAGTGTTCGTGATTTTCTGGAAAAACTACCTGGCAGACTAGCAGAAGTGGGCGTGCCCGTTTGTGACTCCCATCGCAGGGGAGTGCGCTGCTGGCGGCAGTCAGGGCAGTGTGGGTGAGCGGGAAAGCAACCGTGCGCCCTCCAGTCCTGCCGCTACTTACAGGGTTGGGGAGGCAGCAGCGGCAGCAGGGAGGGAGCCACAGTCGCGTGTGAAAGTGCTAGAGGTTTGTAATAAACACGGGGGCCTTGAGAGACAGTTTTCCTCTTTCCTTACGGCTGATGGCCAGGCAGCCATCTGTTCTCCGAGGTGGAGGGGCCTCGTCTTGAGCTACCCGACATTCTGCCAGCGGGAAGTTGAGAGGTGAGGCCATTGGCTGCTCCTTGAGATCCCTGGGGCACAAAAGGGAGCCCTAGGGCGGAGACAGAACCATTCGAGAAGTGCCCAGAGCCTCGAGGGAGGGGAGGGTTCAAAGCCCCAGGCCTGTGCTGTCTGATTCAGAGGTCTTTCTAGCCCAAAACAGGGACCATGATAAGGTAAGTGAAATTACCAAAAAAAACAGATTTTTTTTTTAGAAATTATATATATTTGAGAAAAGAGTAGGGGACTGTACAGGACCTGGGCCCAGGGCTCAACACATAGGCACAAGTGTTGGTGATGGGGTGGATGGTTTAGGCCTACTCCCTGATTTGGGGTGGTAAAGAAAAGCCCATTTGTGCCCACTATGGCAA